TTTGTGTTTAGGCGAATTGTTAAAAAAACGTAGGTATCAGATTAAATGACGAATACTAAGAGTTAACACGCAAGAAATAAGACCATATTAGCAACACCAAAATCAAGACCATATTAACAAGACCAAAACCTATACCATATTAGCAACACCAAAATCAAGACCAGATTAGCAAGACCAAAACCTAGACCATATTAGCAAGACCAAAACCTAGACCATATTAGCAAGATCAAAAACTAGACCATATTAACACGACCAAACCCGAGACCATATTAGCAAGACCAAAGCCGATACCATATTAGCAAGACAAAAAAGTAGACCCTATTAGCTAGACCAAAACCGATACCATATCAGCAAGACCGAAACCGAGACTATATCAGCAAGACCAAAACTAAACCGCGGCTATATCAGCAAAACCAAGACCGAGGTTATATTAGCAAGACCAAAACCAAGAGCGAGGCATTATCAGCAAGACCAAGACCAAGACTACAAGTATTAGAGTAAGACTGAGACCAAGACCTGTTTTGTCTTACTTTCATAATTTAGTTTAGTTTAATAGAGATATGACATCTTGAGTGTCGAAACAGGTTTTAGGTTTTTAAATATTTTTGAGCGGATTTTAGGGTTTTAGTGCTTTTATTTATTTGTTGTAGGACCCCCCTATGAATTGACATAATGAAGGTATTTAAAATGTATCTTCTTCTATTTCATGTAACTTTAATAGCTCTAGGTACAATAAACGTATACGCTTAAATAGATACTAGTTACTTTTTTATCTATTTATTAATTGTTAAATCATACTTGCTCGTTGAACGGTGGAAATAAAACGTTAAAAAGAGGCATATTTCCTTCATCCGCCGCCTTGTAACTCTAAAGAAAGAAAAAAGAATCCTCCGAACGACCTTCGACAATCAAGTAAATATCAGAATTCGATTGTATGTTAATGAGAAAAGAAGCATTTTTAGCAAACAGGTACTGGATTGTTTTACGGACGTGTATTCAGTTATGCATCTCGTCTGAACCATGACTCACTCGTACACAATGCCTCCTTGATCGTTTAGGAAGCATCGGCTTCGATTATCCCATGATTACCTATGTTATGTCATTCAAAATCAATTAAAACAATTAATGCTCTCTTGAAGAGTATAGAAATTGAAAATGAAAAAATTGAAGAAAACGCCGATGTTCCATACTTATGAAGTTAGGCATTGGTATAAGCAGCGTTGAATCGCTTTAAACAGCTTGGAACTTCGAAAAAGTTTATTAGAACTAGTTATTAGGATAACCAAAGACACCACGGAAGTCAATAAAATATATGGGAAAGGATTGGAGATATAAAGGTGAGACACATTTTGAGGCTTGAAGGCCTAGTTAGACTCATTAAAAACAGAAAAAGGGCAGAGAAGGAATAGAAAGGGTAGACTTAGATTAGATTGATGTTCACAAATGGTTGGTGATATGATAATGTGAGATGTTATAGTTTACAAGACCGGAATACGAAGGATTGGTGCGTGTCTAAACGACCTTCTAAAATTATGATGAGAAAAATAAGAAAATAAATCAGTAATGTGCAAATTATATTCACGCATCCGGATTTTGTTAATTCAATAATTTAAAAATAGTTTTAAACATTATTGTGTCATCATTCGTCAGTTCTAAGACTGGTTGGACATCCACTCTTTCCTTCTTTTGAGCTAACCTTCACATTTTCCTAAATCTAGAACTTCCCAACCCGTAATTATTTGTGAACAGTAACCTAAGGTCTACCTCTACCCCTTTTAACTCCTGTTTCTGCTTCTAATATGTCTCTAACAAGCTATTCATGACTGACAAGGAGTCCTACCAATAACCTATCTCGCTTATATCTTATTGACTTATACATCGACCTCAGTTCTGCTATTCTTTCTAATACCTGCTCATTTCCAACCTTCCCTTTTTGTATTGAAGTTGAAAATTCTATAACAAATTTCCATCTTTTTGGGTTCGTTAATGGCCTAGTAGTAGCAGTAGACGGAGTCACAAAGTTTGGTTACGTTAGGTTATTTTAATAAATTTGTAGTAACCTTACTATGAAGTTTTCAAATACTTTATTATAATTGCCGTTTTTAAATGTCTATAAATCCAACGCCTTATTGCCCTCATACCGCTTTGATGTATTTTCGATGCTGTTGTTTGTACCATTTTACCAATATTTAAATTAGTACTACTGTAATGTTAGAAGCGTTCGAAAGTTCGTATTAGAAAATAGAAAGAATAAGAGAACAGAGGACTCTATGAAAGTCAATAAGAAATAGGCGAGATGGGTTAGTAGCACACCTTATCAGACATGAAGATCTTGTCAGAGACATATTATAGGCAGAAACGGAAGTTAGGAGGGGTAGAAGTAGACCTAGATTAGATTACTGTTCGCAAATAGTTAAGGATATGGGTTGCTCTAGCTTTAGGGAAATGCGATGTTTAGCTCAGGATAGGAAAGAGTGGAGGTGGGTGTTCAACCAGGCTTAGGACTGACGACCTTATGATGATGACTGTAATAACACAAGTTTCGACTTTAATTTCTATGGCTTCTAAGAAAATTGGCTATAACGAACGAATAAACTGACAGACGAGAGGTCACGTTAATGATTTTTTAAGATCAGTATCATTAGAGCTTTAGACTAAAGCTTAGCATTCGGGAGTACACCAATTCGATTCCGGGTCGGTTAAAGTTTTTCTTTGATTTCCTTGGATCATTTAGATAAATTCTGGGCCAGCAAAAATACTTCACAAATATCTTCCACTTATTTGAAAGAATCGTCCGCTCTACCCTCTGGAGTAATCTGGACCGACTACTCCTTCACCAGCATTAGTCCATCGGGAATGAAACACCCAAAAGTTTATAGTTTTTTCTTATAAGAGGTTCTGTTTTCCTTTCTAGATGTAGAACATTGATGATTGTAATTCAGTTGTTCCACTATTACCTATATTGAAAGGTGTCTAGTATTACACCGGAACATACCGGAACCGATTTACTTCAAGTCAAATACTTGTAGTACACTATAATCAACTGATGCGATCAACGACACTTTGTATGTATCTGTACCGAGAACAATGTCTTCCGTCAGGTGTTACTGCTGTTCGCACTTTAACAACCTTGACGTTAATTAATTAATACCGATTGGTGCCTTGGCAATCGTTTGCACCTGATTGTGCAACCGTTTAAAATCGTTTTATTATAAAAACAAAGATACCCTACAAATTACACCATTGTTTATCTTAAACCCCGATGTTCGAATGAATGACCAAACCTATTGATTAACTGACATATTTCATTTACTGATTATTTACTGTCCAAACAACAGTTGTAGTAAACAGAACTGTAAACGAAATCGTCCTTTAAGCTATTTTAATGTTTTAATGTCGTACTGTCTACCGTTAAGGAATGAATAAACATAAACAGCACCGTGAACGACATCTGTGGATAATTATCGCTATTTGTGGGTCTATTATTGTTTAACAAGGTCCTTTTTTAATTAGCGAGATGGCTACTGATTTTAGTCTAGTGATTTTTGAACTTTATTTTGGTGTCACATTCCGGAACCTTCTTCATATGAAACGAAACGAAATGACGATATAGTAGTACAGCCATTTAAGAACAAGAGTAGTGTATGGAAATAAATAAAAGTAAAACAAAAATACTGGTATTCAAGGGAATAAAAAGTAGGGAAAGAGCGATTTTAGAAATCTAGGAAGTCAGATAAGTCAAGGCGGAAGGAGTAGTAGAAATATAAAGCAAAGGATAGTGCAGGGTCGGGTCGCCTTCAATAAAAAGAAGTCACTTTTATGCTCGCGAACGGTTAAATTAGAAATTCGAAAAAGGTTCTTAAAGATGTATGTTAGGAGCACGGCGCTGTAAGGGTGCGAAACATGGACGGTGGGGGCGGCGGAAAAGAGAAGGTTAGAAGCGTTCGAAATATGGTGTTACAGACGAATGATGAGGATACCGTCGACAGAGAAGGTTAGAAATGAAGTGGTATTAGAAAAAATAGGAGAACAAAGGACTCTATGGAATAAGTCAATAAAAAATAGGCGAGATAGGTTGGTAGAGCACCTTCTCAGGCATGAAGGTCTAGTTAAATAGGAGTAGATGTAGACCTAGATTAGATTAGATTACTATTTCCAAATAATTATGGATGTGGGTTGTTCTAGTTTTGGGGAAATGCGAATATTAGCTCAGGATAGGAAAGAGTGGAGGTGCGTGTCCTACCAGTCTTAGAACTGACAATCTTATGATGATAATGTTATTATAGTATTCTAAAAGTATAAATTTCGCTAATGAAGGTTATGGAATGTGATGAATCGTGAAGGGTATGGGAGGAAACTAAATAGCTGCAAATTGCTGTGACGTTTATAATATACTCTAAAACGATGTTTATTATTTATACGATTAACATTTTTCCAAAAAAAGGAGACAATTGGTTGCATTAAGTTATAATTATAGAAAACATTAGCTACAATAAATTATCATTCAATTACATACTTACTTCCTTATTAGCGGGGAATGGTATACAATGTCTATTTCCCCATAGATTGCTGTTTAGTAATTTATGTTCGCGTTAATGTCCACCTTACAAGACAGTAATTGATAATTAAATGTGTGCATATTCACTGCCTGTTATCATTGTCGATGGTAGAGACGGGGACGGGCATGTGAACTCTGGACTAGTGACGTGAAATGCATTGGCCCATTGGTAGGTACAATTAGATTCCATCTCCTCAACCTCAGGCTTTTCGTATGAGACAAATTATATCTGAAGAAGCTTTAGAAAGCAGAATTTTCACGTATATACTGGGTGTTTTATTACCATTGGAAACTATTTGGGCTCAAACGATGAAGATTTAACCCAATTCTAGTTAGATTACAGAGAGATTAGCTCAGTACAAGAAAGAATGCAGGGTGCGTTTCTAACCAGTCGTAGACCATCAGTACCACTCCCGAATTAATTATGTATTTTATTTTTCAGGAAAATGCTTCATCAATTTCCCCATTTCACGAGTTAAGAACACACTCTCCTAGACCGCTTCAAATAATAGCCTTGAAAGGGTAAGTTATTCAACATTAGTATTTCGTAGCCATACACAGTAGCTTAATTTATTAGGTATTCCTAACACTTTAATTTGCTAATGTTGTTACGAATTTGAAATTTATAAGTCATACCAGATAACACGTCGTAGACAGAACACAATTCGTAATTCAGTGGTGTTGCATTTAAATGAGGTACCACCCAAAATGCGGAAATTAATCACTCAGTTAAAAGAATGCAAACATACACGGAAACCATTGATTTAAAAAGCATGTTTTAGTTGGTATAAAGCATGTATGAAGATGCAATAGAACCTATTTCTAAGATTAGTGATGATGAAGATATTGATCAGACGATATTATTAATTGCATATGCGTTTTAAATCGTTGGTATAGCACATGGAATGTTAAATAACTGTTCATTGTGATTTTTCAGTAATTGTGTATTATGGACAGATAAAATGTGTTGTAAAATTCATAAGGTGATTCACATTAGGATCATTTGTGTGAATTTGTTTTGATATTTGTCATAAGTGACGTCTTTCAAAATTATCTTTCCCACCTTGGATAGATAAATTCCGTAGTGATTGGAAAAATTGGNAAAAATGCCTGCAAGGTTTTCTTAAAAAATATTTTATACTTATGTGAATGAAGAAAATTAAATTACCACGAAAAAGTATTTATTTAAAAAAGTATTTTGAAAATACATATTTTGCATTTAGCATTTAAAATTCAAAAAGGAAATGTATTTTGTACTTTACATTTGAAATAACAAATCAAGAAAGTATTTGCATTTTGTATTTAATACCATTTTGCACATCTCTAGCCATGGTTTATTTAGATTTACCCGTAGCCACGTTCCTGATGGACAATTACCTCCACTCCTTTATATCTCGGAAAGTACGACATCCCACGTCTTTATTTATGCGAACAATAATCTAATGTAGTAGGTCTATTTCTAGTTCTTTTTACTGCTGTTTANAGGTTCTGTTTTCCTTTCTAGATGTAGAACATTGATGATTGTAATTCAGTTGTTCCACTATTACCTATATTGAAAGGTGTCTAGTATTACACCGGAACATACCGGAACCGATTTACTTCAAGTCAAATACTTGTAGTACACTATAATCAACTGATGCGATCAACGACACTTTGTATGTATCTGTACCGAGAACAATGTCTTCCGTCAGGTGTTACTGCTGTTCGCACTTTAACAACCTTGACGTTAATTAATTAATACCGATTGGTGCCTTGGCAATCGTTTGCACCTGATTGTGCAACCGTTTAAAATCGTTTTATTATAAAAACAAAGATACCCTACAAATTACACCATTGTTTATCTTAAACCCCGATGTTCGAATGAATGACCAAACCTATTGATTAACTGACATATTTCATTTACTGATTATTTACTGTCCAAACAACAGTTGTAGTAAACAGAACTGTAAACGAAATCGTCCTTTAAGCTATTTTAATGTTTTAATGTCGTACTGTCTACCGTTAAGGAATGAATAAACATAAACAGCACCGTGAACGACATCTGTGGATAATTATCGCTATTTGTGGGTCTATTATTGTTTAACAAGGTCCTTTTTTAATTAGCGAGATGGCTACTGATTTTAGTCTAGTGATTTTTGAACTTTATTTTGGTGTCACATTCCGGAACCTTCTTCATATGAAACGAAACGAAATGACGATATAGTAGTACAGCCATTTAAGAACAAGAGTAGTGTATGGAAATAAATAAAAGTAAAACAAAAATACTGGTATTCAAGGGAATAAAAAGTAGGGAAAGAGCGATTTTAGAAATCTAGGAAGTCAGATAAGTCAAGGCGGAAGGAGTAGTAGAAATATAAAGCAAAGGATAGTGCAGGGTCGGGTCGCCTTCAATAAAAAGAAGTCACTTTTATGCTCGCGAACGGTTAAATTAGAAATTCGAAAAAGGTTCTTAAAGATGTATGTTAGGAGCACGGCGCTGTAAGGGTGCGAAACATGGACGGTGGGGGCGGCGGAAAAGAGAAGGTTAGAAGCGTTCGAAATATGGTGTTACAGACGAATGATGAGGATACCGTCGACAGAGAAGGTTAGAAATGAAGTGGTATTAGAAAAAATAGGAGAACAAAGGACTCTATGGAATAAGTCAATAAAAAATAGGCGAGATAGGTTGGTAGAGCACCTTCTCAGGCATGAAGGTCTAGTTAAATAGGAGTAGATGTAGACCTAGATTAGATTAGATTACTATTTCCAAATAATTATGGATGTGGGTTGTTCTAGTTTTGGGGAAATGCGAATATTAGCTCAGGATAGGAAAGAGTGGAGGTGCGTGTCCTACCAGTCTTAGAACTGACAATCTTATGATGATAATGTTATTATAGTATTCTAAAAGTATAAATTTCGCTAATGAAGGTTATGGAATGTGATGAATCGTGAAGGGTATGGGAGGAAACTAAATAGCTGCAAATTGCTGTGACGTTTATAATATACTCTAAAACGATGTTTATTATTTATACGATTAACATTTTTCCAAAAAAAGGAGACAATTGGTTGCATTAAGTTATAATTATAGAAAACATTAGCTACAATAAATTATCATTCAATTACATACTTACTTCCTTATTAGCGGGGAATGGTATACAATGTCTATTTCCCCATAGATTGCTGTTTAGTAATTTATGTTCGCGTTAATGTCCACCTTACAAGACAGTAATTGATAATTAAATGTGTGCATATTCACTGCCTGTTATCATTGTCGATGGTAGAGACGGGGACGGGCATGTGAACTCTGGACTAGTGACGTGAAATGCATTGGCCCATTGGTAGGTACAATTAGATTCCATCTCCTCAACCTCAGGCTTTTCGTATGAGACAAATTATATCTGAAGAAGCTTTAGAAAGCAGAATTTTCACGTATATACTGGGTGTTTTATTACCATTGGAAACTATTTGGGCTCAAACGATGAAGATTTAACCCAATTCTAGTTAGATTACAGAGAGATTAGCTCAGTACAAGAAAGAATGCAGGGTGCGTTTCTAACCAGTCGTAGACCATCAGTACCACTCCCGAATTAATTATGTATTTTATTTTTCAGGAAAATGCTTCATCAATTTCCCCATTTCACGAGTTAAGAACACACTCTCCTAGACCGCTTCAAATAATAGCCTTGAAAGGGTAAGTTATTCAACATTAGTATTTCGTAGCCATACACAGTAGCTTAATTTATTAGGTATTCCTAACACTTTAATTTGCTAATGTTGTTACGAATTTGAAATTTATAAGTCATACCAGATAACACGTCGTAGACAGAACACAATTCGTAATTCAGTGGTGTTGCATTTAAATGAGGTACCACCCAAAATGCGGAAATTAATCACTCAGTTAAAAGAATGCAAACATACACGGAAACCATTGATTTAAAAAGCATGTTTTAGTTGGTATAAAGCATGTATGAAGATGCAATAGAACCTATTTCTAAGATTAGTGATGATGAAGATATTGATCAGACGATATTATTAATTGCATATGCGTTTTAAATCGTTGGTATAGCACATGGAATGTTAAATAACTGTTCATTGTGATTTTTCAGTAATTGTGTATTATGGACAGATAAAATGTGTTGTAAAATTCATAAGGTGATTCACATTAGGATCATTTGTGTGAATTTGTTTTGATATTTGTCATAAGTGACGTCTTTCAAAATTATCTTTCCCACCTTGGATAGATAAATTCCGTAGTGATTGGAAAAATTGGTCTTTAGTGTTTGCAAAATAAAACACCTTTATATTGAGTTGTCAGAGATTAAAATTTAGGTAAATGGCAAGACCAAAATCAACAATGAGACCAAGGTTTGATTATTAGCAAAATTAAACGGTAAGGTTCTTGCTAACTGAAAAAAATATATACAACTAGTTCTTTTCCCCTATCACTCACTGTGAGCTCGAAACTGTTAGCACAATTGCTTCGAGTGATCTAAATTCACTTTTGTGAACAATTTGTTTAATGTGTTAAAAATTGTTTGAAAAATTAAATTTAAAGGAATTGTTTGTGAATAGGTATGCAACACATCGTACACGTCAGTATAAGAAATTGCTGATACTAACTACGTAATACTACTTTGCCTTGTTCTGACATTATATACGTATATTAAAAAAAATTTCGATGTAACGAATATATCGATAAATGGATAATTATTTGACATATTGATAACTATCGACATTTATTTATAATTACCCATATATTGATAAAGGCCTTTATGATTATCGACAGATAATAAATGATAACATAACTTTACAATAAGATAGCGTTTTAATAGTTTTAAGTTAATAGAGAAGAAAGGTCGATTTCACTTTAGGTATAATGCCAAGTATTATTTGACATGCTTTCAACTCTGAGTCATTGGTTGTTAATTTGTTATAAACAATTAAGTTTAGAAAAATGCATTTCTTGCTTACTAAATAAAAACTAAAGGAGCGGTCTCTCTCTGACATTCACAGAAGAATTGTAAGGGATGAAGAAACAATTTGAAACATCAATCGCTTCCATCGGATCAATGTCAAAGGAAAAAATTGAGAAAAACTATAAAATTAATCTTTTACTGCGAAAAATGAGAGTCATTTGTAGTACATTATGTGTGCAAAAACCAAATGCTATCGGATAGATAGATACTTAGTATTCGTAGCCTCTTCTTTCAGCTAACAGCGAGTTTCAATAATCTCTGCATCTTGCGATTTTAATTTTGTAAACAGAATTTAAAAGTAAAAGTATCAATCTACAAACTAATATGTCTATAACTAGCTCTTCATGTCCCACAAATGTACATATTTCGCTCATTTCTTATTGACTTTCATAGCGTCATCCATTCTTCCACTCTTTCTAATACATAGTTCATCTTTCCTAACCTTATCCCCCTGTTACACCACATTTCAAACGCTTCTAACCATTTAATTATTATTAAAAACTTAAAAATATTAATGAAAATTGATGT